GGTGGTCTGACTCGGATCATTGAGGTTCCGACTTGGAAATGGGAGGCCATTAATATGGACTTCGTAGTTGGTCTTCCGAGGACTAGGAGGCAGCATGACTCTATATGGGTTGTTGTGGACAGATTGACTAAGTCTGCCCACTTTATCCCAGTGAAGTCTACTTACAGGGCCGAGGATTACGCGAGACTTTACATTGATGAGATTGTGAGATGGCATGGGATCCCTTTGTCTATTATTTCAGATAGAGGAGCTCAGTTTACTTCACATTTTTGGAGATCTTTCCAGAAAAGCTTAGGCACGCAGGTGAAACTTAGCACTGCCTTTCATCCTCAGACAGATGGGCAGGCAGAGCGCACTATTCAGACATTGGAGGACATGTTAAGGGCGTGTGTGATCGACTTTAGAGGTAATTGGGATGACCATCTACCTTTGATAGAGTTCTCGTATAATAATAGCTATCACTCCAGCATTGGGATGGCACCGTTTGAGGCATTGTATGGTAGGAGGTATAGATCTCCAGTTGGGTGGTTCGAGGTTGGAGAGTCATCTATTTTGGGTCCAGAGATCATTCATGAGGCCTTGGAGAAAGTTAGACTGATTAGGGACAGGTTGTCTACTGCTTACAGCCGACAAAAATCATATGCAGACAACAGAAAACGACCCTTAGAATTTAACGTTGGTAACCAGGTCTACTTGAAGATATCTCCTATGAAAGGGGTGATGAGATTTGGTAGAAAAGGGAAGCTTAGTCCGAGATATGTGGGGCCATATGAGATCCTACAACGCGTGGGTGAGGTGGCCTATGAGTTAGCATTGCCTGCGGAGCTAGCTTCTGTTCATCCAGTCTTTCATGTCTCTATGTTGAAGAAGTGCCTAGGTGATCCAGCATCAATCCTACCTGTAGAAGGTTTGGGGGTTGGTGAAGACTTGTCCTATGAGGAAATACCTGTTGAAATCTTAGACAGACAGGTCAAGCGGCTAAGGAACAAGGAGATTGCCACAGTGAAGGTATTATGGAGAAACCATCTTGTTGAGGGTGCTACGTGGGAGGCCGAGGCCGACATGAGATCCCGATATCCACATCTTTTCAACTCTTGAGGTTAGGCTTCCTACTCATAAGACTATAGTTCCTTATCTCTTCGTATTTGTTGCTATTGGCTGATTGTACATAGCAATTAAGTTATGATCTGATTGGCATTATGAGGTGTAATGGTAGTGTCATTCGGGGACGAATGTTCCTAAGGGGGGGATAATGTAACGATTCAAAATTTTTTTTTTATATAAATAAGAATAAATAAGTATTTAAAGGGCGTAATTGTCCTTTCACGTTTTAAATGAATAAATAAATAAATAAATCAAAAACAGATTTGTATTTATTTATTATTTGACTGATTTTTGAATTAGTCTCCTAATCCAAATAGTCCTCTCTCTCTCACGCTCCTTAACTCTCTTTCTCACGTTCTCCATCTTCATCACATTATTTCTGCCAAAAATATCAACAGTTTTCATGCTTGAAAAACTCACAAAAAATTTTCAAGTAAAAGAAAATAAGTAATCAAAACGTCAAGGCTAAGAGAGGTTCGTCGAGAGAGGTGTGCGTTGAAGTGAATTGGGAGTGGTTTGGAGGAGTTTTCCGGGCAGCAACATTAAAGTTTGAACATCGATTAAGGTATGGGTTTCTTCTCTCTTGGCTCCTTTCCCAAGAGGCCCCTTACGATTCAAGTTATTCATCTCGAAACTAAGGCTGTTTCCCGTTGCATGCCCCTGTCACTAGCTCCCAATGAATTTTAGGTTGGGTATGATTGCTGGTAGATTTAGGTGTATATTATGTTTTCGCGATGAATATGATTATGTTTGTGTACTTGGAATCGTATGAAAGGCAACCATGTTTTTCTTGAAATTATGTGTAAGTAAGTATGTTACAGTGAATGAGGTTCTTTATGTAATGCTCCAAAAGTTTAATGTAATATGATTGTATATTTTTCGTGAATAAAATGGGGTAAGACGTGAAGTTCATATGAAATGTTAGGTGGCTTGATTGAGGGAGTAATTCTTGGTTAGACGAATCTATAAAAAAAAAATATAATGTGTAATTAAAACATTATGAATGAACCATGAAATTTCCCTAAGAATTAATGTTAAACTTGATGAAAAAGTGAAGAAAAATCGTAGAATAAATTTCCAGAACTTGAAAACAGACTTTAAAAGAATCTGGAAATTTTTTTGAACATCAAAAGAATTAAAAAAAAAAGTTTTGAGGCCTGCAGGGATCGAACCCAGGACCTCCCTGCAGCATGCCTTAATTAAAAAAAAAAATGGGGCTGGCAGGGATCGAACTCGCGACCCCAGCCACGCGCAAAAAAAAAAAAAAAAAGATTTAAAAGGGAATGCTGGGGGCGGGGATCGAACCCACGACCCCCAGTTCGCGAAAAAAAAAAAGGAATAAAAAGGGATGTGAGGCGTGGGGATCGAACCCACGACCTCAGAGTTGAAGGGAGGGGTACAAATATTAAGGAAATAAAGGTGAGGCTGTGGGGGTTCGAACCCACCACCTCACAGCCTCCATTTCCAGCGAAAATAAGAGAAAAATAAAGGGGGCTGTGGGGGTTCGAACCCACAACCTCCCTATTCAAGCGAATGTAATTAAAAATAATAATAATAATAAATTAAAATTCTAATTAAAGTTAAAAAAATTAATTCTCTTATGTAAACATTGAGATTTAATTTAGAATTTTAATTAAAAATAGAATATTAATTCTTTTATGTAAATATTGAGATTTAAATTGGAATTCTAATTAAATTAGAAAATTATTCTTTCATCTAAATGATTGAAATTTAATTTAGAATTCTAATTAAAATAAAACAATTTATTATTTCACGAAAATGTTGAGACTTAACTTAGAGTTCTAAATTTATGAATATTAGAACAAAAAATCAATGAAAAATATAAATGATATCCAAATAATTCAAAATTTGGGTTCTCGTGCCCAAACCTCCGTATTGATACATAAGTCATACGTGAGTAAAATATTCAAGAATAATGTAATCTACTTTGATCAAAAATCAAGATCTTGGTATATATACAAGATACATAAGTCTTGTAATACATAATCTTAGGAAAATAAGAATCACTTAACGAACTATAAACGAAGCCCCATGGCTTGTATGTATAGACACATAAGTTTAACATACGTTCAAAAAAATAAGTGAACCTAAGATGTACGTAATGAAATGAAGAATGTGGTGACAATCATGATGTGAGGCTAATGTATATGGAGAGAGCAATCTCAAACGAGCCTAAGTAAATGTTACCAATACGTATTCATCAATGAGGGTGTAAGATAATGAAGAGACCAGTCTCTATAAATACTTTAATGAAAAATATTGAGTTTAAAACACTTAATACTAATAATGAGATGAGAAATCATCTATTGAGCTATGATGCCCTCATACTAGAAGACAACTTCCATGATGTATGAGTTGGATGTAATGGAACTTTATACTGAGCACCGATAGGCTAGCTATGAGCGGTGATGCCTTCTTTCGGGAAGGGCGGAGGCTCACGTAACTCTCATGAGATGAGACTGTCCGGCTTGCCGGGTATGGGTCTCCATACATCTCCTAGTCTTTGAACCTATATTGCCACTATAGGGATCTGGCGGGGTTAAATTCCCATATACGCTAGCATGTTATTGAATCGCTTTGGCCGGTGATTCCACCTCTTTTCGGTGTGGGGAAGACACTGGATTTCATGATGCTCACATGATCTATGTCGGTTAAAGTTAAAGTTCCCAATGAATGAATGAGGCCAGCCTCAAATGAATCATATAAAGAAATGAATGATACCGAAGGTGTTAGGATAGGATAATCAAGAGGTGAGCTAGATTTAGGTAATGACATTAGGTCATTCCTGATCATTGCACAGCAAACCCAATGGAAGTCTTAAACTACATCCTAGGTATAGCTGGTGTTCGCACTGGCCTATGAATGAATTGAAATGAAATACGAACGAATGAATGAAGCAGGCTCTGTGTTTGCTGAAGAAGGCTCCCTAGTTGAGGTCCCATATGTTGAGCCCTCATTTTGGGAAGTCTTAAGGTTAAGTCTATGATAGTAAGGTCTCATGGTATATGAATGAACAATATGAAAGAAACTATGTGCTATATGTTATGTGTTATATGAAGATATTATGTGTTGTGTGCCATACAATAACTATAATGATGCATGTCACTCTCGTGGCATAACCTTCCTAATCTCATTTTAGCAAGTCCACCGACTTGACTTCCAAAAATCATGTTGTTAGGAAAGAGCTATTCTTTCTCATGCATGTCCCTGGTGTGTGCTTGCATATACCCATACTTAGTACAAGTGTGTACTAATTCCATACAAACATCTACTTTTAGGTGCAGGCACAGGTGTACGGTAGAGCTACAAGTTCTTTGTTGCAGCTATCTGGACGTCAGCATTCATCCGGAGTTTGGTAGGTCCTTATGCCTTCGAGGATGCTACTGTTTTACATTCTAGCGTAGTTTTAGAGTTGAGCTAGTGGGGCATGTTCCACTAGCGTTTCTTTCCTGTTTTGGTTCAGACTTTGTATTGGTGCTATTTTGGCCGATATACAATTAATATTTAATGAATTATTTCTTTCAGTTGCTTATCTCTTAAAGGTTAGATGGTTGATGATGAACGATTACGAAATGTTAAGAATGTTCAGCAAGTATGATTAAAGAATCAAAAATTCCAAATTTTCCGCTAAAATTAATCTATGTAAAGTAAGAATGACGTAAGTAGGCTTGTCTGCGACCTCTGAGAGGTCAACGACGCCGGTCTCGTCTGGGGTCTAGATTCCGGTCGTGACAAAAACATTTTCTGGAAAATGTTTTTCGCCATACCAAACACACCCTAATCTCAATTTTACATACTGCAAGGTTTGCGCAGCTCTGAAGAAATAAATGTACCAATGCACGTTTAAATTGCATAATTTGAACTAGGATCCATACCTTTGTGGCAAGGTACTGTTTCACAGTAAGCTCTTGATTTAATCTCGACAGGAGATCCTCAATGTCAGTTTTTGCTGTGGCCAGCCTCAGTTGCATAGTACTGAGAATTCTATTCAATTTGTTTTGTCCATCCAATTGAATAACAACTTGTAAATCAGCACCTTCAGCATGGTCTTGTGAGGTGTTCCTCAATGGTTCAAGCTTCAACAAATTTGAAATGTCCGAGATTAATTCAGTAGAAATATCAGGTTCAAGAGTCCATTTGACATGAACACTTTCTGTGACTCTCTTGGTGGAAACATCAATCTCACTTCCTGTGGAGGGCATTTTCAAATGATTTTCCTGGTTCCCTTGTTCAGAATCCTTCATTGGCTTGCTGTCACGATGTTTCATCCCGGCATCCTCAGAAATTACTTCCTCTGAATGGGTGAAGCCCTGGTAAATTGCTGCATTGTCACGTTCATGGAACTGGCTCATGCCCTCCATTGGAGATCCCAGCTCAGGGGTTCCATAAGCAGAATCATTGCCGCAATCAGAAGCAATTGATGATGAACCAGCAAGTAAAGAAACATCTGAACTATTTAAGAATTGAATAGATGGAGCTACACTGATGGATGAATGCACATCTGCAACGTTCTGATTCAATTCATAGAATGCTGAAAAGTTCATAAAAGGGAAAAAAGGTTTAGACTAATTCAACTAAGCTTTGCTTGATAAATCATAGCATACTGGGTTGATAAGACCACTTTCAAGTGTTTGGTGAAAGTACAAGGAAAAAGCACAAGAATTCATCAAGCAGCAAGGAGACACCTACATGACCTTGCAGCTGCTTCAAGTTCAAGAAAGATCCCTATGGAGGCACTTCTTGATAACTCGATGTCAGACAATACTTTCATCATCCAATCCTCCAATAAACACCTACGCTGAGATGAAATCAACTTGAGCACATAGCAAAGATCAAGTTCATAGTAAAGAACTATCACAGACCTATTATACCAGTGCATTCCTCAATTAAAAATTTCAGGTTATGATGCCATCATGCAATTATAATTGAAATAAAAGAAAACAATAGAAATAGAATGCCTACTAACTTCTTCCAAAAGTTCATGGCTTTGCATTCTCAGAAGTTCCTTTGAAGGAGCAGGGGGCAACTTTTTCTTTGGAAATTCTTTCTTCAGCTGCAACAAACGAAAGGTGTGAAGTTATCATATGGATCAACTTATACCATACATTGTACGTATGAAGATTCAGTCCAAGAACCGATCAGTTTACTGAATCCATAGAAGAAATATTGCCCTACTTGTTACAATATGGCCTATGCATGATCTCAAAGAAACTAGCTTACCTTTGAAGATAGCTTTAAGAAATCACTAAATCTTCGTAGTATCTCTCGCGTGGTTGTGAACCCATCAGGTGATCGTAAACCAATTTGAACCCTATAAAACTGTTCCAGTACGAATGTCAATAACTCAAGCAAGAAATAACAAGTCATCCAAGTTAGCTTCTTTTTGTTCCTGAAAGAAAATAGACTATAGTAATCTCCACTGGACCAGGTACAGCTCACCATTAAAAAGGAGGAAAAAACACCTAAAGATTGTAAAGGGAAACTTCAATCATGGTTGGAAATAACAGCCCATTTCAACGCGAATATAGCTTTTTCCTTTTTTAAAAATAAAAATAAAAATTGGTATTGTTAAATATAGCTTATTCCTTTTACTGTGCTCAATGCATTAAAGGATCCTGACTCAAAAATTCACAGGGAAATACCACTACAGTAGCTGAACCTCTGGGGCGTAAAGAGATAGTCCAAGAAGGAATAGTGGCACAGTAAATCCATCCTGTATGAGAATCATGTGGCCAAATGGTATCATGTCCATCCTGTGTAAAATAAGGGAGAGCTCATCTGAACATGCACTGGAAGATCTTGTAACAAAAGATTAAAGTCTAGATAATCTCTTCAAGCTTTTCTTCACGACTAATCATGGACCCATATGTATTAGTAACAGATTAGACATACTGCAAATCAGATTAAACTGCCAATAGAATCTTCAAATATAACAGATCAAACTAAAAATAGTTTGTCCAGGTTTCCGTAAGATTTTAGCATTGAACTACTGTTTCGAAAACCAGGATTTAGATTGGTACTGCTAATCAAGATAAAGTGAAATGTCCATGTTATCAGTCAAGTAACAGCTACATAGTATATGATGACAACATAAACCCGTGTATGCACACAAACATAATCTATAATTTTTCAAGTGTGCTACAAACGGTGATGCATCATTATCATTTATATACATGAATATTGGTATAATTCAAACTGACTGATACTGATTGAGTACTATTTAATCATCAAATAGCACAAAGAAAATGAATTCAGTCACAAAGTAAGTAACAATTGAAAAAACACAGCTGTCAAATGACTATTTTTACCCATACGCGAGGGGAAGGACTCCAATCCATCCCTAAAGGAAGCGGCGAGGTCCCGTCGTGCCGGTGCTTTGGTGGACTCTTTCGACCTTTGCTAGCTTTGTCAGCCGATGAAGAAATCATCTCCGGTAGCAAATCATCGTTGACGATTGACGAAGTGTGAGAAAGCGAAAGGGATTCGATGAAAGAGGGATCGTTAAATCCCGAATCCAGATATGAGTAATTACCGTAGAGGTTCATCTCAGGTAACAAAGGGTCCATTTTATATTTGTACATTTCAAACCTTACTGTCTGCTCCGGCAGCTCTCTCGCCGGTCCGTCACGGCCTCTCGTCGTGTTAATTTTCTAACTTCAACTGGCGAACTAACGGTCCTGATTCTGTCGATGAACCGTACCTACTACCTAATCGTGTCTTTTATACGACCGAAATTGTTTTATACATTTTAATGAAAAATAATGATTCTGTGCAAAAATATTTTATACATTTTAATGAAAAATAATTTTCACTTTTTTATTGATAAATAGAAAATATTCTCTAAGAAAAATACGTTAACAACTAATAAATAATAATAATATTAGAGATATAGAAAGTATTTGGATGAAAATTCGGTATTAAAAGTAATATTAATGATATTTAACTGTTAATTCAAGCAAACAATATATAATTGTAATTGTGACTAATTTTTCACTTTCAATTAATTTTTTCGTAAAATACTTGTTACTATCAAACATTTTTTAAAAAAAAAAAAAGAATCACAAATCACAAACCTATAGCAAATTGAAATTATTTTTGATCGAAATTATCGTGTATATTTCATACATATTTGTCACATAAAATTAGATAGTCTATGGACCTTGCCCATTTTATAAGTATTTTATTTTTTGATTCGATAGAATTTTTTTATTGCGAGCTCATGTGTTTTCAATTCTTTGTATAGTCTATTTTCTGAATGATCAACGATCAATTTTTTTAATGAGTGATTCATTATAAGTGTCGTAGACAATCGACTCCAAGATCACACAACCGTGCTCGAGCCTCGTACAATTAGAATATATACACAAATGACCTTCTTCGAGATGAACAATTTTTATGCGTTCAATACGATAAAGCCCAGATATCTTCATTAATTGTGTTTTGTGGATAAGGCTAAGAGTCTACTCAATGTTTTTGCGACACTTTTTCTTTCGATTGATTTGTTTGTTTTTATTAGTGTATAATACATTGTCTATGTCCTAATTTTTACGGTAATTTTTTCTCTCTCTACATCTATTACTTGCAATTAGACTTGACGTATTTATATTTTTTTGAATTTCATATCTAAACAATCAGATAAGCGAGTGAGATTCATATCTAAACAATTAAATACGTGAATGAGATTCATATCTAAACAATTAAATACGCGAATGAGATTCATATCTGAACAATTAGATACGCGAATGAGTTTCATATCTGAACAATTGAGTGAGTTTTCTACCTAAACTATTACTGAATATTTATTAAAACACACCTATGTTATTTTCATTCAAAAGTCGATCCAAGAAAAGGAAAAAAAGTACTTGCAATCACCTATTTTCTTCAAATAGCAATACTGTAAGTTAAGGTTTGTTGTTCCACAAAAAAGAACAATAAATAAAAGTAGTAACCAAAAATAGTGAAACAAATAAAATATGTAGCTGACTAGGAAAAAGAAAACGTGGGTCCCAACAAAAAATACAGGGTTCTGATTGGCTGAAACGCGGCGGGCGGCGTATACACACCAAAAAAAACAAAAACAAGAGAATATATAATGGACCTTAAAACCTCAACAAAGCTCACAATCCACTGTTCGTAGGCCTAAAACCTTGTAGCGGCAAGCGTAAAAAGGCCATTAGGGTTTTGAGCTTTGAACATCAAAAGTTCAAGGCTTTCAAGCCCACCCTGTTCTTCGTCATCGTCTTCTCCCTCCAGAAAATTTTCTTGAATTTACGATTAAAAAAGTAATCATAAACGATAAACGATAAACCCTAAACCCTGCGAGTACAAACAGAGGTTTTTGATTCAGCATTCGTTTGCGAAGTTGTTTAAAGTAAGTTTTTTGTTTAGTTTTGATTGTGGAATTAGTTAGTTTCCTCTATGTATGTGTTGTTTATCCGATTTTTATGTGTGTATAATTCGAAAGATACAAGATTTTCATGTTGTTTATTCATTCATTCCAATGTATCTTTTCTCTGCATTCCGATCGTTTTGGAGTTCACTTTTTTTATTTCTTTTTGATTCTGGGAAGCTTGTTTTGTGCTCCTGAAAAACCATGATGTAAATTGGGGGTTTCCGTTCCTTTCTGTAAAGGAGCATTCGGGGCTAGAAGACAATGAATTATGCTAGAAAAAAGAAGTATGCTTTCATCATATGATCTTGTTCTTTTTTTTTTTAAAAAAAAAATGGTGTCTTTGTGTGTGTTCTTCTTCAAGAGAAGGATCCTAATATTTTAATTTTATACTTTTCTTAGGGCTTTAGAATTGTTTTTTCTCATGTACTTAAGAGAAGTTTGTATCACGGGTATTGAGTTTTGTATCATGGGTATTGAGTACCATTGTAAGTAAGACCATGGCCACCAAGTCCATGTAAGGGTGTAATGTTGAGAATTCCTAAAGGAACTTGATATATCTGGGCACCCAAGGGTGTGGCCACAAGGTCTTAGGTTCAAATCTCAGCAGAGACATTGGGATTTTCCTCTACAACAAAGGTTCTGTTTTCCAAAGTGGGAATACTCTATATAACTCATAAATAGCGACGAAAAGCACTTCCCCCCTCCCCCCACAGAAAGAGAGAAAAACAGTTGTTTGCTACTTGTCAATCACACGATTGAGCATGCTTGTCCCTCCTCCCCTACCCGACTTCTTCTTTCTCCTTTCTTTTGGAGAGGAGGAACCTGTAGATCCAATTATAGAAATGCATCTTCAGCCTTACTTTTTAATCATCTCTGTAATTCGGCATGTTGTTGAATTTGCCTTGTAATTAACTAGCTTATTGTGTTTGGTAATAAATAATTGTTGGATAAACTTCAATGCATGACTTATCGTCCATCCTTTCATATTCAGTAATATTCATCTTATGCCTGAGAAAGACTTGTCTAAATCCTTGAAACATATTGCATCACTGCTGTGTTGGTTCATTTACATTGTTGAATTCAATACTGTTGCATTGTTTATGCGTGAGGAAAGACTTGCATATATTGAAGTATTGCTTCCTTTATTCATGTATTCTAAAACATTTGTTGTATGCCCTGAAAGGCTCTGAACTTTCTTACCTTATTTTTTTATATTATCCTTGTATAACTGGTGAGTAACTTCAATGATAATGTACCATAAAAACTCAAAGAGAAGGCGGCATTTAAGACATTTTCTAGTCGCGCAATTCGATTAATGAACTTATTTAAACTGATGATAAAGTATCTTCATAGATATTTTGTTTGCTTTGCAGGCAGGGAGTTACTATGGATACCCTAACTACTCTCAATGAGATAGCTGATTCGGAGGCACAACCGAATAAGTTTAGGCGGAAGAAGTCCATAGTTTGGGAGCATTTCACAATCGAAAGAATCGGTGCAGACTGTACCAGGGCCTGTTGTAAGAAGTGCAAGAAGTCATTTGCCTATATTAGTGGTTCAAAGTTAGCAGGCACCAGCCACCTCAAGCGGCATATCGCCTTGGGTATTTGCCCGGTGGGTCGGACGAACCAGGACAAGAATCAATTAACCTCATTTAACTCTGCTGCGCCAACTAATGGTTCTGCTGGGGCTACTGGTAAGTCAAGAAAGCGGTACAGAGCTAATCCTGGACCAACAAGTGTCCCATTTGATCAAGCCCGTTGCTACCATGATATTGCAAAAATGATAATTCAGCATGACTATCCACTTGAGATGGTGGAGCACTCGGGTTTTAATAAGTTTGTGCAAAATCTTCAGCCTTTGTTTAGTTCAGTGAGTGTTGATACCATACAAGAGCATATTTTTAACATTTACCTGGGAGAAAAGCAAAACCTTTTGAACATTATTGGTGCAATTCCTGGACGTGTTAGTCTGACACTCAATTTGAGAACTTCAGATCAAAACTTAGGTTATGTCTTCATAACAGGATACTTTGTTGACAGTGATTGGAAATTGCGGTGCCGACTTCTCAATGTTATCATGGTGCCTTTTCCTGATTCAGACGTTGCCTTCAATCATGCTGTTGCCGCATGTTTGACAGATTGGTGTTTAGAGACGAAGCTATTCACGCTAACTCTTGATCAATCTGTTGCAAATGTCAATGTCAGAAAAAACCTGGGACATCTACTATCGATCAAGGGAGTAAATATTCTCAACGGTCAGCTAATTATTGGTAGTTGTTGTGCTCGTGTTCTGAGCGATCTTGCACAGTATGCATTACATTACATGAGAGCAATTGTTGAGAAGGTCCGCCAAAGTGTTAAGTTCGTTAAAACAGCAGATGCCCATGAAGAAAAGTTTTTGGAGCTCAAGAGACAACTTCAAGTTCCCAGTGCAAAGGAGCTCATTGTGGATGACCAAACCAAATGGGATACCACATATCAAATGCTGATGACTGCGTCTGAGCTGAAAGAAGTATTTTCTTGCTTGGATACTTCTGATCCTGATTATAAGGTGACGCCTACAATGGATGAGTGGAAACAGGCCGAAATTCTCTGTGAATACCTGAAGCTTTTCTTTGATGCAGCCAACCTCTTAACTTCCCCGACGTACTCAACGGCCGATGTGTTATTTCATGAAGTGTGGAAAATCCAGCTTGACCTGATGCAGGCAGCCCGTAGCCAGGATCGTTTCATAAGAGATTTGACTAGACCATTGCAGGAGAAGTTTAATGAATACTGGAATGATTGCAACCTGGTTTTAGCAGTTGCTGTTGTTATGGATCCTAGGTTCAAGATGAAGTTAGTTGAATTCACTTTTAACAAGATCTACGGTGAAGAAGCTGAAACTTGGATCAAGATTGTCGATGAGGGAGTGCATGAAGTTTTTTGTGATTACATTGTGCAATCACTTCCTCCGCCTCCGGCTAGTTTTGTAGAAGAAGCAAATGACAATTTTGTAATAAAATCAGAATTCTCTCAGGAAGATAGTTTCCTTGCTACTAATGGTGACGCATTTCCAGATTTTGAGGTCTATCTTGACATTATTAACAATCAGCAGATGAAAACAGAGTTAGATCAGTATCTTGAAGAATCTCTGATGCCTCGCTCACAAGATTTTGATGTTTTGGGTTGGTGGAGAATTAACAGATGCAAGTACCCTACTCTCTCCAAAATGGCATCTGATATTTTATCCATCCCAGTCTGCACTGTCACTCCGGATTCTGTGTTTGACACTGTATCGCGAGATTTGGATAGACACCGAAGTTCATTGAGACCCATAACTATTGAGGCTCTCAGTTGTTCCAAGGATTGGCTTCAATATGAATCTTGGGAACCCCCATATGGAACTCCAGACGCTACAGTCAAAGTGGAGTATTAGATTTATTAGTAAAGATTTATTGGTGTAGTTGCTTCTTTATTTTCTTTCGATTACCCCTTTATAGCAAACAGTTTTGTGCACACAAAGGCGTATAGATCAATGAAATTCATATTCTTTCACAAACTTTATACATAGCAAAATTCACTTTTAACATCTCTTGCGTTGCTTTTTTAGAAAAGTAGGAAAATACATAAAAGCTAGTGATTGAAGGAAAAAAAAAACAATCTGTTTTGATTGTAAAAAATGAATAAAAATCTATTTATGTGATAGTGAAATCAGAATATGAATATGATGTTAAGCTCTCTCAGGGGACTCTCTAACTTGACATATACTTTCCATGGAAAAGGTGTCTTCTTATTAGCTTCACAATGTCCAAATCAAGTTTTCCAGCTTGCTCATCTTCATTTGTCTCCAGAAATCCATTTACCCTTGCAGAGTCTCATAGAGAAGTGCAAATCCATGGACCAACTTAGACAGATTCAGTCGGTAATAATCCAAAAAGGCCTTATTTCTGATCCTAAACTCTGCTCCAATATGATAACCTTTTGTTCTAACAATGAATCAGGTGACATGAAATATGCTCGTTCTGTGTTTGACATAATGCCTGAACGAGGAGTGTTCATTTGGAATACAATGATCAAGGGCTATTCAAGAGAAAATATTCCCCATGATGGAGTGTCAATTTACAGAGAGATGTTAAATAACAATGTAAAACCAGATAATTATACGTTTCCTTTCTTGCTCAAGGGTTTTACTCGTGAAGTATCGTTGAAATTAGGGAGAAGTGTGCATGCTCATATATGTAAATTCGGGTTTGAGTTAAATGAGTTTGTTCATCATGCTTTGATTCATGTGTACTGTTTGTGTGGGCAAGTTGATATGGCTCGTGGGGTATTTGATTTGAGTGCTAAAAGTGATATACTTATTTGGAATTCTATGATTTCGGGGTACAACAGGTCCAAGCAATTCGGAGAGTCAAGGAAACTCTTCTATGCAATGGAGGAGAAGCAATTGCAGCCTACTTCGGTAACTCTCATCTCAGTGATATCAGCTCTTTCACAGCTTAAGGATTTAGATACTGGCAACCGAGTTCATCAATATGTTAAGGACTATAAGGTACAGTCTAGTTTAGTGTTGGACAATGCTATAGTTGACCTGTATGCGAGTTCTGGAAAGATGGACGTTGCACTTGGCCTATTTCAGAGCATGAAGCATAAAGATGTTATATCATGGACCACAATTGTCAAAGGTTTCGTGTATATTGGACAAGTTGATGTGGCTCGGATATATTTTGATCAGATGCCAAAGAGGGATAATATTTCTTGGACAGCGATGATGGATGGATATGTCAAAGAAAACCGATTTAAAGATGTGTTGATGCTCTTCCGTGAAATGCAAGCAGCAAAGATACGACCAGATGAGTTCACTATGGTTAGCATCCTTACCACCTGTGCACATCTTGGGGCTCTTGAACTTGGAGAGTGGATCAAGACTTACATTGACAAGCACAAAATTTATGTTGACATACACCTCGGTAATGCTGTCATAGACATGTACTTTAAGTGTGGGAGTGTGGAGAAGGCATTGGTGATGTTTACTCAAATGCCTAGTAGGGACAAATTCACGTGGACGGCCATGATTATCGGTCTTGCATCTAATGGGCATGAGAGAGAAGCTCTAGATATGTTCTTTGAGATGCTGAGAGCTTCAGAAACACCGGATGACGTGACTTACATTGGTGTTCTTAGTGCTTGTACTCATATGGGTCTGGTAGAAGAAGGAAAAAGCTTCTTTGCTAACATGGCCTCTCAGCATGGCATTCAACCTAATGTTATACATTATGGCTGTCTGGTTGATCTTCTTGGTCGAGCAGGGCGTTTGGAGGGAGCTTATGAAGTTATAATGAGAATGCCAGTGAAACCAAATTCAATTGTTTGGGGAGCTCTTCTTGGTGCTTGCAGAATTCACAAGGATGTTCAAATGGCTGAAATTGCAGCTCAACAACTTCTTCAGCTAGAGCCTGGAAACGGGGCTGTCTATGTTCTATTGTGTAATATATATGCAGCTTGCAAAAAATGGGATAACTTGCGGGAAACAAGAAGAATAATGACAGATCGCGGGATCAAGAAGACACCAGGTTGTAGTCTGATAGAGATGCATGGAATTGTTCATGAATTCGTTGCAGGGGATCAGTCTCATCCTCAATCTAAAAGCATATATTCGAAGTTGGCTGAGTTGATTGGAGAACTAAAATTTTCCGGTTATGTTCCCGATACTTCAGAGGTTTCTCTTGACATAGGAGAAGAGGAGAAAGAGAACTCCATTAATCGACACAGTGAGAAGTTGGCGATTGCATTTGCTCTAATCAATTCTGAACCTGGATTTACTATTAGGATAGTGAAAAACCTTAGAATATGTACAGATTGCCACCATGTAGCAAAGTTAATATCAAAACGTTACAATCGAAAACTAATTATTAGAGACAGGACCAGATTCCACCATTTTGTACAAGGTTCATGCTCTTGTAAAGATTATTGGTGATCCTCTATCATTTTTGTTTTACATTTTTTCATAATTGTTTATTCTTCCCAAGAAAATGCCTTGTACTCAAATCGAGTCTGTTATACCTCCATTGTATTTGTCCCTCCAAAAACAGACATCAGCCAGCCATTGTGTCATGGCTGTATACAGGCAGCCTTGTCACTGCGGCAAGCTCATCCCTCTTCATTGGCACCACCCTTCTCCAGGCGAGACCCATATTTATAGTCCTTTCTAGTTGCAGATGGTTCTTTTTCTTGTATAGCAGAGAGTGCCATTCGCTTCACCCTGGGAGAAGGTAATGCATCTGTCATATGCTCTTTGGTCTTTCAAGTTTCTTATAAATTTAATGGTTGCTAAGAAGCTATTATTCTTTGAGTCAGACTAAGGAAGAACTATTGAGAGAACTAGGACTTCAGGGGAAGAAAGGAAGTTCAGTTGAATTTCTCAGAAGAGGCTACGAGGTCACCTCCTTAGTTTACTACTTTAATAGTCTGAATTATATCTGTGATTAGCCCCATTATTCAAATGACATATAATTTGAAGAAATATGAAATAGATCAGTCAACTTCTCCTATTGAATCATTTCTCATTAGACTAATACCTTGTTCCCTTACTGCAGACACCAACTTGGTTCGAAGAAGATTTGATTTAGAAGCATCTTCTGCATGGCGTAGTTAAGCAGTAGAACTGAGCTACAAGAAAAAGTTGGTTACAGAAAGAAGAGGATGGCGGTGGAAGCTTACAGATACATACCCCCGTGGTGGAGAAATTAGGTACGGAATAACCCAACTCGTTGAATCAACAATATTCTTTAATATAATGCTTCCCCAGCCTTATAAGAGAAAAAGTTCCAGTCATCAGCTATCCACAAAATAGTTTCAGATCCAGTCAAATAACACATATCAAAGCAGTTAGAAAAAGAAAATATACAAGTAAAGAAGACATAGCAATTGCCTTTTCCATAGGGAACACGTTCCCGTTGGACAAGAAAATAATATAATTTAGTTGTGTTAACTGTTTCTTTACAAAATTGAGATACTTTGAATACACAAAACTAAATCTCTTACAGCAATCCCAAAACAATTCTCTAATATTTAAAATTCAAACACTCGAAACAAAAAATGTCATCTTGACTTAGTCTGGATTATGGACACTAAAGCCAGTCCCAAAACCTCTAGAACTTGAGCTCTAATGCCTGTGAACTCGAAACAGCAAAAATGTGAAGAGACTAATATGGTCTCTCCAGAGATTTGTGCAGCATTGGAGTAAACTCAGTTTCTCCATCATCGTTCTCATTAAATCCGTCCTCTTCCATTTCCTCAATTTGACGAAGTTCTGCAATTTTCCTCCTTGTATGCCGGCGCCATGCAGCTTGTATGAAGCTGGCAGCCCAGGTTCTCCATTGCTGCGAGTAAAACCTAAAAGTGTGCTGTACCTGTCGACTCTGCAACCGCCTGAACTGTGATGTAATGTACTTCACTTCTTCTGCCTCTAAGGCAAATGCCTCTACTTCTGTCAAAGCCTTGACTGTCCTAGTTGATGGCGGCAAGTTAGACCCGGATTTTGGATCCAATGCCCATGTTAGCAGCTCCTCACCACAGAAGTCATTTTCTTTCAAGATACCTCTGTTGAAGAATCCACTTCTCCCTCCATCAGTTGTTACACTTTCTAGGCGACCACGGATTATAAACATCATTTCACCAACTGGATCTCCTTCTCTAACTATATATGTTCTTTCGGTGCATAAACTTGGTTTCAATCTCTCACATATGGCGTCAAGCATTCTCTCATCCATGTTCTCAAACAAGGGCACCTGCAAAATGTATCATTCACAATATTTTTACATCAAATTTCACATCAAGGTTTCGAACATATAAAAAGTACTTTACATCATGCCCAACAATGTGAACTTGAGCTATCAACAAGATAAGAGTACTTACCCTTCTAACCAAATTCAGACAGAGATGCCGCTTAATATCTCTCCTAAGATCTTTGGGCAGATTTTGCACCAAACTCTCTTCATCTACTCCTCGAGTTTCCAACCATTTGTACTGATCGTAACGTCGAACTCTCTCCCTTAGCTCAGGAGGAAGTACTCTGTGATGCATCCACTGCTCTGAGTCACGCCTTTTGACCCTCATCTCCTCAAGTCGTACTGTTAGAGACTGAAGATAGGTCTGTAGGGTACACAAAGCCAAAGTATAAGCACAATTATAATGTATGAACTTAAATACTTCTCTAACCTAACAAGCACTACCTGTACTTGTTAAAGAATTTACATGTTCCTGGAGCTTAATATATACAAGCATTTCCTTAATCAAGCAATCAATAGGTTGTGATAAATCATTTCTTCCATTTGTTTAGCAAGTAACACGCTCAATTATGAGAGCCCTCCATTTTTATTGTTTGAACCAGTCTGAATTAGAAAAAATATGGGAGGGAAAATACCAAATTTTATCTTATATACTATTCTGCATCATCTTCTACAGAATCTGGCAACATTAACCTTAAGAAAAAAGTTGCCAAAAAAGAAAACGTAAAGAGGGCGTCTTTAATCTACTCACCTGCATGTTTCCAATGAGAAGAGCAAATAGTAAGAGTCCAGAAATGGCCAATATTATTGAAAAGAGATTTTCCTTCGTATAGGTACTGGTCTCAAGCCCCTGACCAAGTGTGCTGTAAAAAATGAAATTTAAACAAGTTAAAGGTCACAAAGGCATTATCCAAAGGGTGATTTTCTGACTCTCGTGAACACCCCCATCAGAACAGGGAAAATCACGATTCCAAGAGCATCAATAAAACCCTGTTCTAGGACAAATCAAAAGCTACCTCAATAAAGGAAAGCAACAGAACATCATTTCGTCATGAATTATAGACAGCGGACTTCCTCATAAACCTCTTGCTTTCTAACCATACTATTGCCACTCAATGGAGTAGTAAACTAAGAAAACAAACTTTGATGACACCTCGATAGCTTTCAAATTTTTACCTTTTGTTGAACTAAAAGTGGACAGTTAGTTTGTGTTTCAATGTGGAGTAACATAATTTTCACACAGAAATCGGGAAGATCTTTGAGGCAGACAAATATTATTAACCAAAGACAGAGTGTAAAAAAGGAGGGAAAATGGAACAATATGATTAGGTGCATCATATAGCTGAAGTTTTACCTCAAATTCTGCAAGCCCCACCACAAACAGAAACAATATTTGATCACGAAATCTTCAGTGTCAAGAACATTAGTTGTTACAGCTCTTGCATATATTCCATATGAAAATTTCTCCTCCTCAGCACATTTTTCATCAAGAACACTCTTGCCAATGTTTTGCCATTCTGTCAAATTGAAGTTTCCTTCACGTGAACAATACAGATAAGATAATTTATCTTTGCACTGGTCATTTTCGGTACATGCTTCATTCCAACATGTATCTTTGCGTTCGACAGCTAACAGGTACCATATGGCCCCAAATATCTACATATCACAAACAACAGACTTTAAGCATTTCTGGTTTCTGGCCTTCTGATCATGTTTGAGACTCGTTGATTATTTAACCGGAGTTACCTTAGCTTCTCTTATTACCATAAATAATCAAATGCCAATAACTGATGAAATTCTAGCTAACAGCTCAGATTATAAAACAAAGATGCTGAAAGGAAAAGGAAATAAAAAAATCCAGTCTACCCATTGAAGTGGGGGAATAGGTAAGAGTGATGTACTACTCATGGTCATTGAGGAGATGAAAAGATTGCCGTGCAGTGGCCCAAATGATGTCCTATAACAAATACTATCTGTACGAGACAGAAAGCTATTTAAACTATGAAATCTAGAAAAGGGAAGGGTGTATTGTGAATGATCATTTTTTAGATACCATATACAATTGTCGCTGAATTTTCATATTCTAGGCAAGGGACCATAAAAGAGCAGAGTGGAAAATCAACTACCACTAAATGGTCTTTTAATAAGAATTTTGACTAAAATCTAAGCTTCACTAAATATTAATGGGTTCCTTTAGAATTTGTTAGCAGGATGTTTCATCTTGCTACTATAACGTTCTTACCGTATGTAACGACTGGTCATTTTATGTCAAAACCTTATCGGACAAATATGAAGAGAAATTTGCGAAAGCACAAAAGAGTACTATTAAATGCATTAATGAACAAACTTGAAAAGTTACTTACATGACTAGCTAGAACAAACCACAACAGATAATATGCAGCACCAGCCCAAGCAGTTTCTGCAAACACCCCTGCAGTCTTTTTCAAATCCGAACTTAATGGAATAAACCGCAAAAATCTAGGAATATATTGAATGAGGATGATGTACGATAATAATGTCTTTGTAATCAATACATCCGAACCTCTTGATCCACCAAGATATCTCCATATCACAATCTGAAGAAGAAAATGGACTAGAAGGCATAAATCAAACAAATACCACTTTTGTAGAAAGAAACAATCGTAAAATTATAGTTGAAGCTTTCATTAAGAGATCAAGATGTTTCTTTTTTCTTAATTTTAATTAGATAAAAAATAACAATGGGAAATGGTCTTATGTGATTTTAGAAAGAGGGCATTAGCATTCAAACGAAGAAACAAAAGGTGCATGGAGAAGAATAGATATTATCTGTCTACTGTGACTGCCAGTACTTATATGCATGTCCCCCTCTAAACTTTCTATTTGTGTGTGTCTCTATTGCTGGAATAAAAGGTGCATAGGGAAAAATAGGTATTATGTATATACTGCTGTAACAATTGCTAAAATAATTTCTATGCATATTTGCCTCACTATCTGCATGTGTGTGTAAGCCTGTCACTGTATGTATATAGCAAAACCTGGTGCACTGTGGGATCCGGGGAAGGGCCGTACCACAAGGGTCTATTATACGCAACTTTATCCTGCATTTTTGCAAGAGGTTGTTTCCACAGCTCGAACCCGTGACCTTTTGGTCACATGGTAGCAATTTTACTATAGTTATGCCAAGGCTCCCCTTAAAGAGAGCTCCAAAGAGAAAACTGTTTACCCAAATGGTTGCTGAATGTTGAATAAGCACATGAGTTGTTACATAGTCAGAGGTATAGTAGGAACCTGCGGTGCAGGAAGAATGGAAAAGAAATCCACTACAAAGTAACGGCTGAGGTATCTGGTTGCTATTTGCTTGGGATCTATTACAAGTTCACCTCGCCCAAAAACACGGGAAGATGGAGCAATAAAAGCTGTTCGAAATTGGAGAACCATGCGGATAAGGTAAAAGAGATCAACTGCTGTCCGCATCCAACTTACTATCTTTGCTAAACTTTCATCTATGTGGAGACACTTCCCTTCATCCTTAAAAACAGGAAGGTAGAGAAATAGAGGATCAATGGATACTGCCAAAATACATGATATGACCAATAGCCTATTCCAGAACAGGAGAGACTTGTCTTGAGGATCAAATATCCTTTTATCTGAAACTCTCAAATCTTCTGGAAAAACTGCTCGGGTAACGCCAGATTTCAGTGTTCTACCAAATGTCACTAGTCCCTCAGATCCTCTTTTTACACCCAGTTTTATTGACTTGGATGGGTTGGTTGCATGACCCTCTATATTAAATCCATACTTTGTCCTTCCAGCCATATCAGACTTAAACGATATGTCAGAGTTTGCGTCCTCTAACCTGCAAGAAACAAGGAAATCTTTTTCTGACTTACAATAGACAACTAGTTCATTTCAGGAATTTAATCAGGGGTGTAGAGGCTGTCTCAAAACCATATGACTATAAAACAATTGAAGTGATAATACTACATCCATTAATTACTTTAACATTCTTCAAAGTATCAGTATCCAATATGTGTTTTAAAGACAAGAAAACACATATAGAATACACTAGCTGCCTAGTGCAGCAATTTACAGCACTGAAAGTGAAAAGTCGAAGCAACTTGGGTTAAAAACCCTCATCTACATTATTGGACTGAACAGAGATGAAATATGTGAATGTCACAGAGATTTTGAAAGCATACCTTACAAACTTTTCTTTTTGTCCTCCAATAATCTGCGACTTGTAATTACCAAACATTGTATAAAATCTCTTGCATAGAGAGTGAAGGAGTTCATCAAAACATCAGGCATATGGCCACATCAAATACGTAAGTTTTGACTGCACTTTAATTTGATACAAAACAAGGTGTCAGTAGATTCAGGTGGAGGATTCAGAATTTTCATTAAGGAGGTTCAACTACAAAAGAAATAAATGTACGACGAAACCAAGAGAATTTATCTAATGTAGATACTCTTTATCTTATCAATATAGTGTAGTTTTCCGTCAAATAGGGTGTGACTGAACCCCTTGCCTCTACCTGGCTCCGTCCCTTAGTAGAATACCGTTAACAACAACTAAATAACCATCCATAACAGACCAATTCCAATAGTTCCAACACAAATTCTTACGTCTTTCTTTCATCCTCTCTGTCTATAGCCTATGTCAATTGGTTTTTATGTTGATGAATTGCATTTCGTTAATAAAAAACAAAACAAAAAATAAAATGAAACACAACACCTATAAATTTCAGAATTTCGTTTTTTTTTTCCTTTCGGAATCCACTATTTTCCATTTCCTCAACAACCAAAAAAAAAATGTGAACAGGAAGAAACAGATATATAGCTATAGCTAGATGATTAATGACACTGAGAAAAGAAAGTCTCAAAATTCGTTATGCATGCATGCATACGTAACAAGAAAAAACAAACAATTTAATAAAACAGTACAATTTCTTATAATTATATCTTCTTTTAAACAATTGTCCGACTAAAAAATTTGTGTTTGTGTATGAAAAGTAGAAAAATAAAATTATTTAAATTTCCCCCTCTCAAATAGAAACAAGATCATCATCACCAAATTCAAGCCAAAAAATTTAAAAAATTTGGAGGGAGAAGGGTAAAATAATGGAACTTACTTGAAAGTTGACGATTTTAATTTACAAAATGAATAAAAAAAATGCAGGAGAATATTTAGAAAAGAAGTTTTTTTTTTTTTTTTTTTGGAGGTTGGAAGAAAAGTGAAAAGGAGAAAGAGAGGAAGGGAATAAAAAAGGGAAGAAATGAAAAGGAATTTTTGTTATAACGAATTATTTTAAACAACGTTCCGCTTTCTTCTTGAAATTAAGGCCGGAAAATTTTTGGACTCGACTCCTCTCCATTACATTTTTCCTCCATTTCAACGAAATTTAGAAGGAAAAAAAATCCCTTTATTAATTAATAAATATGAAAGAAAAAAAATAATTTGAAACACTACACATGGTCAAACCCCAATTGACACATTTGATGCCACTCATGTTCTGTGTCTTAGATTTTTCTTATGAGAGGATAAAACATTTATCACAATTAAATTTTTTTTTATCTTCTAGAGTAAAGAATTTAAATCAACCATAATTATTGGAGTTTTGAAAATAAGATTTAGAGGGTGGTTGGATTAACTTAAAAATTGGTTAAATCTATTTTTTTAAGTCGGTTTTTATTTTGGAAAGTGTTTAATAAATATAAAAATAACTTCAAAGGTCAAAAAAATGACTTAAAATAAGTTAGAAAATATTTGATAAGATGAAAACAACTTAAAATAAGTTAAAAAATCAAAAGTAAGCCTTCTCTACTGATTTTTTTTTTACTTAAAAGTCATTTAAGTTTGAATTTTTATTATAATTTACATAAATTTCATAGTTTTAAATGCTAGTTATATTATTTCTCTACTATTTTCCAAATAACAAGTATCCATTAAAATTTATGGATTCCAGATACTAGACTTCTGGATGCATCAGCAGACATCCAGATACATAGAAGAGGGATATGTCCATAGGAAATGATGAATCAGAGAGGGGTAGATCATCCGGATACATAAGGAATGGATGTATCAGAGAGGGGATGGATGTATTAAAGAGAGAAGGTATATTTCCGAGAGAAAGATATTGATGTATCAGCGAGAAGGGAATGATATATCCGAGAGGAAGACATAGATGTATGACATAAATGTTTAAGTAATTTATTCTTTTATTTTTGACTTAAAATCTACTTTTTTAAGTCAATTCAAAAGAAAACGATACTACGATTTTATGAGATAGAAGTATCGCCAAGCCCAGAGAGCAGTGCAATACTGCAATATAGGACGATGCGCAAGAGTTAATGTGGCAAGTTATCTTAACTAATTTGGATAGCGTGTTATAGGCAGTGATTTCTAACACAATTTTTTTCATAAATTTTCAGCGTTGGCACTCAATATCTCTGATTAAAAATAGAAAAATATATGTAACTAAATTACTGCAATCCATGTTGATAGGAATGAGATCTTATTTGTTAACATGATATGATATGGAGTTCGAAGTCAAAAGGATAAAAAAAAATTATCAAAAATTTCAAAGGGGTTCATCAATTTATTTTTTTAAATCAAAAGGGCAAAATCACTCTCAACGTAGCGATTTTATTCTAACAAAATTGACGTGTTAATTTTTTTTAAAGAACACTAAATTCGCTGCTATTTCGTCCAAAAAATTATTATTTTTTAAAATCACTACGATAACAGCGATTTTGTCAAAAAAAAAATTTTACAAAGAGGCAAACAAAGCTGGCTCTATTGCTAGCTTGCCGCAAAGACAGGAAAAAGATAGCAGCGATTTCAATATATTTAGTTTTTTTATAAAAAAAACCGCTTGCACATGAAGCGATATTTAAAAAAAATGGATAAAATCGCTTCGTGAGAAGCGATTTTGTCCTTTTAGTCAAAAAAGAATAAATTGATATCCCCTTTTAAAAATTTTGACAATTTCTTTTTTACTTTTTTAGCTCCGAACTCACGTAATATGACATGTAATTTTAATAAAATACTGTAACAGTTTTTATAACACAATTTTAAAAGTACTTATTTAAGAGTATATGTAAAACTAATACTACTAAAAGATAGCTATAGACTTAACAGAAAAGCCAAATATTTAATCGTCATTTAGCTATAGTAGTCATATAAAAGTAGTTGATAATTAGCTAGTACAACTATCAACTGGCGTAATTAAATCACATTTAAATAGTAGTCATATAAATACACATTTCATATACTATATGATACCATGCACACTGTACACTACGTGTATATGTATGAAATTTACGTTTTATGCACTACTAAGTCCTGAGCATATCTATATTTTTCATCACTAGATATTTATTACAACAACAATAATAAATTCAGTATAATTTTATATGCAAAATATATTGTATGTATATAAATCTCACCCTTTTATTGTGATGATAATAAATATGTAAAATTATTTTTGATAGAATATAATCTTAAACTTAAGAAGAGGTAAAAAGGGAAGAAATTGTAGTAACATGATGAGTTAATTATAAGTAAGTGGGTAGAACGTGGTTATCATTATTAATTGTAGATTAGTGCTAAATGGTTGATCAGTTGTTAAGCTAGAAAGGGTTTTAATTTGATGATTATATGCGATGATAAAATTAAAGTTCTAAAGCTAACGCGTGGCTAGATTCCTGCAGTCATTAGTATAATTTTGTTGTTTAATTAATAATTAATTAATCCCAGCGCCGTTTGGTCTTTACTCTTTAAGCCGAAAGTTTTAAAAATGCTAATCTCTTTAGTCTTTAGGGACCATTAGTTATTCCATATTATTCCCATATTTTTTTTATCTCCACAATTTTAACCATAACATCAAAATAATTCTTTTATTTGATCCTCTTTAACTAAATTTTAATTTTGGATTCTTGAGATATTTGACTAAAGGTATTTGATCTTTAGTAGTTGACTGATATGTGTGTTTTTTATCCTTTTATATAAAAAAGAATATATCATGTTTAATTATATTATTTTAGAGCTATGTTAAACCACATAAATTTATCACATTAAACAGTTTTAGTAGTTATAGTTCATTTGATTTTACGAGCAAGAGAGATTAAAATTCAAAAGTCAAAAGTCAGAATCAAAGCCAGCTTGATCAATAGAAAATAAAATTATTTACATATAATTAAAATATTTTTAAATCTATTTCGACTAGTTCATGTATTTAACTTTTTATATGTTGAAACGATCATTCAGATTCCACTAACTATCAAAAAAAAAGTGCACATTAATTTACAATCAGAATACAACATTTAAAAGACTTAAAAGCACAATTTTCCCTTAGAAAAGATAAAAAGAAAAAAAAGGTTTTCTTTTAGTTACTACATTTCAATTTATACGGCATAAATAAGGAATTTTGAGGGAATTTTTTCTTTTTTGCATTTCTAGATTGAAATATGTCATGAGATTTTCACAAACATGTCATTCAAGATATTAAACTAAAAAGATTTTTCTAAATATAAAAAAAAAGGACATTCTAATAAGAAAATAGTATCATATAATCGACTCTGAGTTGTTTTGAAAACTAAGAGGTAGTCCTTGTTTTGTTGGTTGGAATATACAATTGCTCATTCTATATAAGCTTATCTAAAAACTCCATGCAACCCTAATAAAGTGATTAAAAGTCACGTGGATCAACGAAAATAACTGATGAAGAGTTCGAAACTTGGGACTCCATCCAATTATCATCCTCCTTAGATAATAATTCATCAACATCAAGTTTCTTCATACACCATAAATCTCCCCATGAAAACTTGTTCCATCGTGGTATAGCCTCTTTAACAGGATCATCAAAACCAACTTCAGACACCAACAAACGACACTCTTTATCATTCCTCCCCATATTATGGGCGAACGCGTAAAGCGACTTCATAAGTCTTGGACCATCTTTACCTTCCATATGAATTCCATACAACAAATAAAAACCAAACATTTTAAATATATTAGGTATCGATGGAACCCTTAACCATGGCATCCATGAGTCCAAAACCCTAGTTCCTAAGCAACAAGCATATTTCAACGACGATACGCCTCTTACTTGTAACTTATAAACTTCCTTAGTATTCCACACACTTAGTATAGCAAAAGTTTGTGGGAAAGATCCACTTTTTGGATCCCAATTAAAGAGTGTTTTTTTGGGTACAGCCATGAAAGTACCAAAATTAAGCTTGTTGTCTAGTATATGATCAATATCTTTAGGGAAAAACTCCGAATTCGCGAAAATACGTCGATAGAATGACTCAGAGAGTTGTGGTGAGACTCGTACGATAGCAATGTCTGATGCAACCGGCTTGTAATGAGCATGAACTGGTTGAACCAACACAGAAGGAGTGCGAAATTTCGCGTAGTTGCATTTCGATACGAATAATTTTATCGATGCTTCGTTGTTACTATCAGTAGCCATATAAGCATATTTTGCTCCATTGATTTTGCTCCATTCTTCTAAGTTTTCAACTAGTTTTGTTCCAATGCCAAGTCTCCTAAATTTTTGAGATAACAAAAAAATAAAAAAGATAAATCAATATATTTGAATATACACTATAGTTTAGAAAAAAAAGGTGTGATGGAAAATAAAACATGTCAAGACGACGACTTTGTATATATAATTAAATTAAAGTCTAAAAAAAAGGTAGGAGACATTTATTTTTTTGCATTGTTCTAGTCATTTTGGGAGTCTCCTATTGATGTTTGTAAAAGCTAAATTAAAGGTACTTTAATTTGGCCCATGCATATTTTAACTTATTCAAATATGAATATGTTCTGATAACGACGTAATTTCTCATTAAATACTGTTAAAAAGAGCATCATTTTTGCGTAGATTATGAAGTTAATTGGATAAATAGTTGGAAAGCATATCATTTTTCGTTGTTGTTTTCACATTTGTATGTGCGATCCTTTAAGATTTATAGTATAGATTCTAATATTCCAAACGATATTTGAGTGACCTAATAGTATAAAATAATATTTTTACTTTTAACGATAGACTCGTACCTGTGGTGAGATGAAACACGCAGTCCAAGAATATAAGCAATTTTTACATAAACTGGACATGGTGTTGAGCCTTTATTTCCTCTAGTCACAGTCTTTATACAACCTCGAATTACCCCAACAATTTCTCCATTGTTGCCATATTCAGCTACCTGAATCGTAACAAAGTCTAAGAGAAATTAAACGAATCATCATGACACATGACATAAATTGAAACAGATAAATTAATAACAACGTACCAACATAACATGTAAAGGGAGATTGCGAATACGACTAATGGGGTCACCCATGAGATCAGTAAACAACGATGGCTGCCCTCGTTGTCCAAAATCACACTGTCCTTCCAATTCTTCCACAGCCAACTTATCCTTCTCTTCATCATATTGCCTTACAACAATTTCTGTTTTTTTATTGGTATTATCATAAGCTGATAAATTCTCTTGTGAGATATTTAGAGACATTCACCTAATAATATAGCTAGAGTGAAGAAATGTTTGTTATCTATAATATGGATTGATCTGCTAATAAAATTTGATCTTATATCATCCTATATATATATACCTAAAGCTTGTACTATATTTTGGTCCTTTAATTATTTCATGTTAATTAAAGTAAGTGGGACCTAATAACTCATGACATGGCAACATCACCGGTTTTGGAGGAACTTTTGTTGGATTGAATAAATTCTTTGGGAATTTTAGTAAAAGTTTATTTTTAAATATTTGTTTGACAATAGATTTTAGATTAGATTTTTTTTACAAAAAAAGTTATTTTTATATATTTATCTGATTGTAAATTTTAAAAAAGAAAAATTTTATTTGATCATAGATTTTTGGATCAGATTTTATAAAGCGGTGTGTTCGAAAGGTTTTTGAAGAGCCAAACTAGAGGTAAATATATAATACTCTAGTTGTATCATATTTTAAAAGATTTCTAATAAAAAAATCTTCTTAATGCCAAAGGTAAAGAGGTGCATGTATCTATGCTATAGCTAATACTTTATTATCCAATGGATGGGGATTGTTAATGTTAAAGCTAGTGAATTGTGTTCCAATAATTGTTTCTCCATGAGATTGTCATCTTGCGCTTCATGCATGATGGTGGCAATGAGTATAATTAGACTCCCACATTGGTTTATCGGATTTTATTTTTTCAAATAAGCGTTTTTTACTATGGAAACTAATTTTTAAGATCAAGTTATATTCAGCATTTTTTTCAAGTCAGAAATATCAGGTTTTAATTAGATTCAAGCATCTGTTCTTATCAAACATGATAGGATATGAGATCTTTGTATCAAACGTGATAAGATCTTTCTGTCCTTAGCTAAAGGTGTCTGATTCGAATGATAATGCATTTTGTTAAAGAATACACTTTCATTAATTCCAAGTTTTGGAAGGAAGATTCGTTATGAAGAAATTCAGATTCATATCTTGAATTGTACCTTCATTTGTTAAGTACTCATAAAATAAATATTTTAAAGTTAATTAAGGAAAAAGGGAATAGCATGAGAGAAAAGCAAGGAGGAAAAAGGAAAGGGGGTACCACTAATTATGATTAATTTATATAAAAACAATGGTTAATTTAGTTAAAAAGTTATTGTTAGTTCTAGGATGTACCTTCTTATTGGATGTGGAGATAAAAGTAGTTTCTTGGATCAATAATTGGGTTGGGTTGGTGAGAATCGTGGCCAAATAGAGAGGGGGTTTATTGGCTAACATGTGGAGGGGGGCTTATTAGGTGATAATTAAATCACATGATATTTAATTTATAATTAATCCATTTGCACTTCCCATTTGCTTTTGTGCCCAAAAATAATGGCTAATGACATGACGAAAAGGAGACAAGTGTTGGATGGATGAGAACGCACCACCCTCTCTTTTTTCCTTTTCTTTTAGAGAAAAAAATATATTTAATATTTGAAATTTATCGATATCGATTAGTTTAGAGATGTATCACATGATATAACCCATTTAAAGAGAAGTGCTTTTTATTTGAATAATATTCTTTCTATTTTCTATACTCAAATCTACTCATTTTAAGGAAAGAACTTTTTGTTAAAATAATATCCTCTTAATTATTTTCAACAATCGAAAATGAATTCTTATTTAATTATGAAGATGGAAAAATTTTATCTATCGATTGATTCAGATTTGCATCATATATGACACGATTCATTTAAGGAGTTAAAGCTATGGTACTGAAGTATGTCAAAGCCAAAATTTCAACTAAAAAAAGTAAGCATAAGGAGAAAAGAAGCTAAACAAATCTAAAATCTACGAATCAATTAATTTAGATTCGATTTATCTAACCAATTATATCTTTCTATAGTTATATTTTCTGTGTTCGAATTCAAAATCTTTTAATATCGTAACGCATATCAATCTCGCTTCTTAATGGCCTATAAAATTATTGCTCCATGTGTCAAATCTTAACCTTTGGATTATTGATTGATAACCCGCCGCCTAGCTATAGAAAACAAAGATTTTCTCCACATGAAATCTAAACCTACATGGATTAATTAGTAGCTAGGGTAGTTTACCAATATGGAGATCTTCCTTTTAATTGGATACTAATCTAATCTAACTCTAATTAATAGTCCTCCAACATTAATTATATATGTGATTAAGGCAAGTAGCCTAAAAATAGAAGGCTATATATATATATATATATATATATATATATATATATATATA